AGTAAAAAAAAAAATAACCCAAATTAGTTTATAACCAAAAAGTATAATTTTTAAAACTTTTTTTTACATTTTTTTATTTTTTTTTTATATATTTTTTTTATTTTTTACATACTGTCACCCTAGATGTAAAAGCAATCATTTCCATTTTTTCTCTCTGTCTGCATTCTTGCAGCCATTGAGAATTACTGAGTGAGCGGTGATTGGTCACAGCTTGTCACATGGTACAAGGCTGTTGTGACTAGCCTTGTACCATGTGACTTCTGTGATCATTCACAGATTTCACACGTAGTAAGCAATGATGTCAGAAGTGATATCTTGCTTACTACTTTCCATGTGATCACTGATTGGCCAATCAGTGATCACATGATTGGGACCTCGTACAGAGGTCCCGTCCGATGATCGGTGTTTCACTGTGTCCGGAGGACACAGCGGGCACTGGATTGCGGTGCTGCGCGCTCCCAGAGAGTGCTCACAAGCAGGGTGTGGGGAGGCCGTTTATAAATGGCCACTCGACCCTGCAGTGCCACCGTCCGGCCGTTTATATACAACGGCCGGTCGGGAAGTGGTTAAAGGAGATGTGTGGAGGCGGAGCACACACATAGCAAATAGGGGAATAACTAATCCTAAAGAGATGAAATGATGCATATAAATAAATGTTAGTGTCAATCAAGATTATATAATTCTCAGCCATGTATATAATTGCAGAAATTCGCCACTTCAATTAGGAACTCAAAAACCTAAAAGTCCTATCACCCTCATAAAAGTTTAATGTACCAAAATATCTTTTAAATTACTCGCTCTTTTAGCTACCATGGAAGGTTTTGGGCCTACAATTTGGGCAATAACAGGATTAGAGGTCAAGAGATGCCAATGTTTGGAGAGTATAGATCTCACCCTCCCCCATTGGGAACCAAACCTCGTAATAAATCTTGTCAGACTCTGTTTAAACTTTCACCCCTTCTGGTGGCTTTAGTGGACTATTGGAGTAAGGCTGTTTATTTGCTACTTTCAAAGTCCTATGTGAATATCCCCAAAATATTTGGTACATCTGATTGGATTCAGATGCCTAAATTCATTGAATTGTGTACAGTTCTCCTAATATGAAGGAACTGACCTACAGGAATTCCCTTTTTCAGAGGTTCCAAGTGATGACTACTTGCATGGTGAAGGGTATTGGCTGTCGTTTCCTTCCTAAAGGTTCTAGTGTGTAAGGAACCCTCTGTAAAAGATATTTTGGTACATTCAGAATTGTTAGAAGTCCTTCATCCAGTTGGTTACCCTCTATTACTGGAATGTTCCCCTGTGGACATTGCTCCATATGTCCCTTTGTTGAGAAAACTAGGATGTTTACTGGAAAGGATCGTACGAAAATGTATGATATGAAGAGCTTTATCAACTGCTGTACGGAGAGGGTACTCTATATAATTGAATGCTCATGCAGGAAATTTTATATAGTCAGCTTTGGCTGATCGATTAGCCAGGTCGCGATGACTTAACTCCTGTGCATTTGCGTGGGAGTCCCGGGCACTGCACAGAGCTCTGAAGGAATGGCACGGGTATGCCGATTCTTTAGAGCACATGCAGCGGTGACGTCACTGGCTGCTGCTTGCTAAAATATCTCCTAAACGGTTTAGGAGATATTCATTTTACCTACAGTACCTGTAGGTAAAAATTGCAAAGCGGACTTTACTACTGCTTTAATGGTAAAAGTATCTTAGTGGTAATCTATGCTGCTTTCAAAATCCACCTCTAACTGAAGCTAAATCATTACTATAAATGTTTCTAATGGTAATCTATGCTGCTTTCAAAAGCTTTAGCTCTGTCCATATTACTGTGATGTTTATTTTGCTCTCTTATTTTCCCACTTAATTTATGAACTGATCTAAATCTTTACAACTCTGCACTCCTGCTCTCTTGTAGACTCTTGTAGTCTGCGTTTGGTGTGAGAAGGGTAGCACCCTCTAGTGTGCTACTAGAATAGTGTGTAGAGTATTACCGGTACAATTATTGTTTATGGCTCATGGTAGTTGTTAAGGTTGGGTTATTGCAGGTCAGCTGGATGACTCTATGGGTTGTGGCTCTATCATACAACCTTCCAGAGGTCAGAAAGAAGGAGGGGTGGATGCCTAATCTGCATATTCTTGGAAGATCCAGCCAATCCCAGGTTTGGAGGCTATAGTAGAGTGGTAGACTGGCCTATAAATATGGGAGAGACAGGTTGACGGAGGATTCGGATGGAAGTTGGAGTGCTGAAGGGACTGTCGGGGTCAAGGAGGGGTCCCCTAGGTCATGGGTGGCCTCTGATCTTGCTGGGCTCAGGCGGATACATTCTGTGGAGAAGCACGGATGAGATAAGGCCTGGAGCAGCAAGGATAAAAGAGGGCAGTGTGAGTACAGCAGCACACTTTGGGATCTACATGGGGAAAAGAGGGCTGGTAGTTTCTGTAGGCCATGGATCTGGGAACAGCTCCATAGGGGGAGAGAGCACGCCTCTGCATGTTGCTACAGAAAGTAAAGTGATTTTTGAGGGGCTGGTAGTTCCTCGCTTATAAGGGGCAGCTGCTACTGATCTACAAGTACTCAATTTCAGGAAAAGAACAGATCAGGATCTGCTTTGTACATAGGAAAGAAGTGTCCCCCTTCCATTGTTTCAAGTCAAACTGGGCATCCCATAATCCCCATTCCCTATCCAAGTTGCATTCCCCTAAATAAAGCAGCAGTTTCATGGATTAGTCGCTGTCTTTGGATGCAAGTCTGTAAAAATACCAGTTGCCTAGCTGTGCGAAAGGAAGCTTAGGGATACCCACAAGACAGCAGCCCTCACAAGTAGTGGTCTTAGGTTAAGTATTGCACTTTGGCTCTGCACTTCAGCAAATGCACAAATCCAGAAACCACAGCAGCAGACTACTTTGCAAAACACTAAACATACTGTGTGTGACCTGTTTCCCCATCCAGCTTTTTATCTCTCATTCAGTCTGCTTCTTAATCTCAATACTCTGTAACCTGCATTCCTTACTTCTCACAGTTATGTCCTCTCTCCTCAACTCTCTTTAAAACCTCCAGGACACCGGAATATGTCCCTTCATATAAGTTACACTCCCATAATACCTCTCTCACCCTTCTGTTGCTCCTAACATCTGGAGATATTTTCCCAAATGCTGGGCCGCCATCATTTATATTTGACCAACACATCCGACATCCTCTTACAGGAGCCAAAAGCCACACAATCTGGTTTTTATTCCTCTTCTTCCCAGAGCCAGCCTCCCCTTTACCTGTGCCTTTTGGAATGTCCACTCACCTCTGTCCATGACCTTTTTTATCACAAACTTCTTTAGCCGCTTCCCAACCACCCTATAGCAGATATACTGCTACAGAGCGGCAGGGGTGCGCAAAAATCACATATATATATATACATAATTTTGTGTGTCCGGGTAGGGGGGCGTACCATTCACGGCCGTGGCTGTCTATCACCGGGTCCCAGCCGGTGATCATTGAGCATCTCCGACGGGGAGGGAGGACTGTTTTTTTTTTTACTAACAGTCCTCCTCCATATCAGCTCAGGCACACTGCTCTGGATGGCTGTGCACAGCACAGTCATCCAGAGCAGTATGATTGCAGTGAAGCCCACACACACCGCCCCCTATGTAGAACACTCCCTGCACACAATTAACTCTTTGATCGCCTCTCCTGTTAACCCCTTTCTGCCCAGTGCCATTATTACAGTGTCAGTGCTTTTTTTTTAGCACTTATCACTGTATTGGTGTCACTGGGGGATGTCAGATCGCCGCCATTACTAGTAAAAAAAATAATAATAATTCCAGTATCTATACCGCCATTTGTAAACGCTATAACTTTCACGTAAATCAATTAATTTACACGTATTAGGATTTTTTTTAGCAGCAAAGATGTAGCAGAATACATTTCGGCGTAAATTTCACTCCCTGGTTATCTCTCTCCTCGACAACTGCAACTCCATTCTCATTGGATTACCTTTACATCTCCCCTTCAGCCCATCATGAATGTTGCTGTCAGAGTCATCCACCGTACCAACCATTCATTGTCTACTACCCCTCTCTTCCAATCCCTCCACTGGCTCCAACTAATTAAATTCACAATACTAACAACAACATATACAGCTATGCCCCCAGATACATCACTAACCTGGTCTGAAAATACCAACCAAATTGTTCTATTCATTCCCGCCAAGACCTTCTACTCTCTAGCTCCCTTGTCACCTCCTCCCTTGTTCATCTCCAGGACTTCTCACAAGCATCTCCCATCTTGTGGAACTCCTTGCCCCAATCTTTCTGATGATCTCCTAATCTGTCCATCTTTAGACAATCCCTGAAAACCCTTGTCTTTAAAGAAGCCTATCCTGCTTCTAGCTAATATACTGTTCTTTTACTGTCTTCATCAGCTCGTCCCCCACAGTTATTACCTTTTGTATCACTTGACTCTCCTTCTTAGTTTGTAAGCTGTAATGAGCAGAGCCCTCTGATTACTCGTGTACCAAATTACCTTATAACTGTAATGTCTGCCTTCATTTTGTAAAGTGCTGCGCAAACTGTTGTTTTATTGTTGTTATTAATAATAAAAATAATATCACCAAAGTCTCAATTCATATAGGCACAAAGTTTTTTTTTTTTTTAATTTGTGGTCCATATTTTATCTAATCAATGATGTTTTATTTACAAAAATAAAAGCATTATTGTAGAATCAATTGTGGTTCTGTCACTGCAGTACACTCCAAAAGTGTCTCAGATGTGAAGAGCCTTAACATGTCCTATTGAAAGGGCCTACACAAACACATTGTCAGTAATGCAGGCCCTCACACTACATATTTATTGGTTGATCCTAAGCAGATAATCAGTACAATCAGATTGTAACAAGCTTGTGGCCAACTGTATACCCATCAGCTCAAGCCTGTGTCCTTTATTTAACATGATCACATAGAAACATAATACTTGAAAAGAAGATCTAATGTACCATACTAAAACACATTAAAATGTACAGTATTTTTTATAGTTTATCATATCTCCTAGTTTTGTTCCAGCAAGATACTTTTCAAACTGTGCATCCACTTCTTTGCTCTGTTCTTCAGTAAAAAGACTCTTCCAGTCCCCTACTTCTCCTTTAAAAGCAAAAAAGTAAATAATAGTGATTATCATTTAGGAATTGGAATCAAAATGCAATCCTATAAGAGCTTCATAAAAAAATAAAGGATTTCATTTTGGAACTATAGCCCAGAAAATTAACCCCATTGTGATCTATAAATTGGTTAAAAAGCCTGAATGTTTATTTTTTACCTTCGTGCATTCAATGCCTGAAGATAAAAAAGCTTTAGTGTGCAGCTCCTCCCTCAGCTATCCCAATATCAACCTGAGCCTGATCCTAATCCAGCCATGTGCACTAAAGCAGAGGCTCTCTCTGCTCTCTCCCTTCTCATTGGCTCAGACACAGCAGTGGGAGTCATTGGTACCCGCTGCTGTCAATCACAGACGGTGAGGAGGGAGGTCTGAGTTGCGCTCTCTGTGTCTTATGGACACACAGAGTAAGACTTTGGAGTGAGCACACACGAGTACCCCCATAGCAAGCTGGGGGAAGGAGCAGCGGCATGGGACGTGAGAAGAGGAGGATCGAGGCTGCTCTCTGGAAAACCAATACACATAGCAGGTAAGTATAACATGTTTGTTATTTAAAAAAAAAATGTCTTTACAATAAAAAAATTAAACATAATTTTATGAAAAGGCATACATTTAGTCTTACAATTTGAGTGTTGTATTTGGTCACCAGGATTGAGATGTGACTATTGTTGTCAGCTCAACAGAATACATTTTTGAGCTTATTGAATTAAACAGTGCATGGAGCACAGTGTGGTGCATATAGACACCAGTCATAATCATATTGTACTCCACAGATAACTTAGCCTTGTTCACTTGTCTTAGAATATTCGTATTATCAAGCAGCATAGTCACTTTTTTTTTGGGTGAAGGCATACAAAGGTGCATATCTATATAGAAAGAAAAAAACTTCTTGATTTTCTGTAAGCTAGTTTTTTTTTTTTTAAATGTCTCAAGTACATTTTCTCTGTAGTTTATTAAATGGTATGGAAAGTGGTGTGTAAATTTTGTTCAGCATAAGGAAAACAGAAATACTAACATATCTTGTTCAGATGGAGCGATTTTCTTTCCTGCAACCATAGTCAATGTTGGTGGGAGGATCCCTCCCGCGGAGCCATTGGGATTGATTTGCTAAAATTGGAGAGTGCAAAATCTGGTGCATGGTAGCCAATCCGCTTCCAACTTCAGCTTGTTCAAGTTAAGCTTTATCAAAAAAACCTGGAAGCTGATTAGTTTTCTATGCAGAGCGGCACCAGGTTTTGCACTTTCCAGTTTTAGTAAATCAACCCCATTGTGTCCTCCGGTGGTTATAATAGTTTTTAGCAATAATATAAAATCTGACAGGCTAGTTGTACCTAAGTTGATCGATTGATCAACTATGGTACATTCGTCCATGGACATCCTCCCAGAACTAGACAACCGTGCTGTAGCCATCTTTTGGCTATAGCGCACTTGAAAAATGGTTAAATTAGTTTGAGAAAACAAGCTCTCAGCATACTGACTATTTCTAATAAACACAGTGGGGTTGATTTACTAAAACAGGAGAGAACAAAATCTGGTGCAGCTGTACATGGTAGCCAATCATCTTCTAAGCCCCAGTTCACACTGGATCTGACTTTAAAATCGTGCGACTTCACTTGAAGCCGCATGATTTTAAAGTCGAATGGCTGTGAGACTTCAGGTGCAACTTGATAAACATCTGTGCAACTTCATGCACAGATGTCTATGCAAGTTGCACCCAAAATTGGCAAAAGTAGTGCAGGAACTACTGTTCAAATCGGTGCGACACTGATGAAGTTGGAGTCGAACCATTTAGAACAGTTCTATTGCCAGTCATTGGATGCGATTTTTCATGCCATCTGAATGATCAAATGGCATGAAAATTTGCATCAGTGTGAACCAGGGCTAACTTCAGCTTGTGCAATTAAGCTTTGACAAATAAACCTGAAAGCGGATTGGTTTCTATGCAGATCGAAACCAAATGTTGCACTCTTCAGTTTTAGTAAATCAACCACAGTGTGCAGGAGCACATTGTCTACACAGATGTCAGGCATTTATTATGAAAAAAAAAAAATAATCCATAGAGATAAATTAATTTTCTGAAGACAAATAATTTTGCTTTGCATATGATCGAATGGTTGAAGTGAACAGATTTATTTGGCTATGTGAACAATATCTCTTACTTTTGTAACTCAAACCAAAAGTATTGGATTTAGATATGTGTTATTTGTACAGCACAAGATAAATCCTTTTTAAAAAACTTACCTTTTCGGAAAAAAACATTCCCCATTTTTCCATGTGTGTCACTGGATTTCTCCTTCATAGATGAAAAAGTAGTTTTTTTTTTTTTCCTGTACCAACTTGATCTGATCATCTGTCAGAGTTAAGCCACAAAAGTCCTTTATTTTCTTCAGTGCTCCAGTGAGGTCCTTTGAACAGGAAATATATAAAGAGCAATATGTGACAAAACATTGTTATATTATTAAGAACAATATAACTTCATGTTCTCTGCAGCACTGGAGGACAATTGCCAGAGAAAACACCCACAAGAAGGATATAAGGTAAAAATTATCTAATCAATTCACAATGGGAGGGAGGTGAACACTCAGCTTCATTTAATTTTCCTTTAACGGTTCTGTAACAGTTTTTATATGTGACTTCTGTGCATTGTCTTTTGCTATTTGGGGGTGGAACCATTAAGAAAAATACATTTGTAGGGAGATGGTCTTAAATGGCGCTGAAGAACCTCTCTCACAGTTTACTCTAAAGATATGGACTGCTGGTGGTGTCATTACACCAACTGAACAGCAAATGCTAGCCAAAAGCTACATTTGTTTTCATGGAACAAATTCCTGAATAAATCTGTATGTCAGTTTGATATCTTCTATAGATGTATTTGGTTCTGTACACAAATCTACCAAACAATGCCAGTATTAATTTTTTAGTGCAAAAGAAGCAGTTTTTCTGTGAAACCAGTTTTGGTTTTTACTATAGACGTAGGGCAAACGCTTACCGCTTTCATGTCTTCAAATGTAAGCACAAGGATATTTCCATCATCAATATGTTTCTCCCACTGAAGAGTATAATCAAAGTACGATCCATAGGTTACTAAAATAAAAGACAATATATAACAGTTACAATACCATAAAACAGCTTTTCTCAACCTTGTCAACACAGAGGAACCCTTGAAATAACTTTCCGGTCTCATGGAAACCCTGCTAAAAATGACTATATCTACAACTCCTGATACATTAGATGATGGTCATTGGAAAAAAATACCCCCTTACAGATGGCCAAAAAGATCATTGGTGTCAGTGGGAGCTTATCTAAGATGCAGAAATTGCTCATTGTTCAAGGAACCCTTAGCAACCTCTGGAGGAACCTTAGGGTTCCATGGAATTCTGGTTGAGAAACCCTGCAATAAAATATTGAAAGTAACCCTGGTTTACTGAAAGAGGAAGGAGAGTTAAATAAAGGATTTTTGCTTGCATATGATTGTGTGAAATCAGTACAATTTTATTTCAATTACTAAGCTAAGTGAAGATTCACTTTACAAAGAAACTTCCCTTATCTTGGAGAATGAGGCGAAGTTGTACTGACTTTGATCATCCATTCATATGCAGCAAAAATCCTGTTTTTTTTTTTATTATTATTTACCTTGTACATGACTGGGTGTACTTTATAAAGTTAATTTTCAAATTGTTTCACCTTTTTTTGACATCAGGGATGGGCAACTGCAGTCCTTAAGCTGTTGTGGAAATACATGGGCATTGCAAAACTATCAGAGACAAGCAGGACTCTCAGGCAGAGGCATAATGGGAAGACTGATAGTTATTGCCAGAGGCAGATGTGTGATGGGACTTCTAGTTCTGCAACAGCTGGAGGGCTGCAAGTTTGCCCACCCCTACACCAGCATAAGTGAAAATTCACTTTGAAACTCAACATACAGGATATAATCCTTTATCAAAAGCAACCTCAATGCCTCCTACATTAATGAGTATCACTACTTTACCTGTAGGTTTAGCTGTTGAACAAATTGGCAATTAACAGGTAAACCTATAATACTATATATTTACCCTTTTATAAATCTTTAATAGCATTATCAACTAAAGTAATGCCAACATTTTTCAAATATTTAGGGAGCACAATACAATTGTTCATCTAAAAGTATGTACACAAGTAGGCAACAAGAACAGTGTATTGAATTTAACTATTTATTTTGTGTGACTTTTTTTATTTTTTTTCTAACTGTGCATTTTAAACACATCCAATCAGTACCATTTCCAGTTATAATACTCCTTGAAGAATAAGTCCCAAGATTCATATTTTGGAAGCACTGGATTCTTGTTTGAGAAATGGTAGTAAGACACAGCTGTGTCTTTTGGATTTCGAAGGATGAGTAACATCTGCAACAAAAACAGAGGCTTATTATACTGAAAAAGTATTGTTCACTATGGGGGAGATTTACTAAAACTGGTGCATTCACAACCTGGAACAGCTGTGCATGGTAGCCAATCAGCTTCTAACTTCAGCTTGTTCACTTAAGATTTGACAATGAAACCTAGAAGCTGATTGGTTTCTTTGCAGAGCTGCACCAACTTTTGCACTCTGCAGTTTGAGTAAATAGCCCCACTATATATTACATCAGTAGCATATACACACAATTGTACTGAATTATCATGATCATAACATTATAAATATATAATACATTATATTTGGATATATTATTAAGTTGAAATAATAAAGTTTATCTCAGGCCCAAAGTTTTTGTTTAGAATTGGATAAAATATGGAATTTTGAGTTTTGCTTTCCCATTGGGGATATTTGCCTTAAAACAGAGCTTAAACATTGGAACAAGGAGGAACAACATTTTAAAAAAGAATGTCCTCTTTCGCTTGTTATACCTGCCACAGACCCTTCTGATCCATATTCTGGGCCATATTCTGGGCCATTACCTCTGGACCATGAACACAGAATAGATCAACTTCCTATAAGCAAGTAGGTATCGTATAATCTTTGGCTCTTGAAAGACAGAGGAGATATAGGCTTTCCAGGCCTGGTCAAATATTATCAGGCAGTCCACCTGTTGAGAGTACCAGTATGGTGAAAACATACCACGTTGAGTGGACCTTGAACAAGACATGGTGGACCTGCCTTTAAAATTACCCTCTAGTAGGCTCTAATTGTCTACCATTGCAAAAAAATAGTGCCTGTTAGGTTCTCAGAGATTACACTCCATTAGGAGCGTAATCTCTGAGAACCTAACATTGCTAAATCTCTAACCAGTTTAGAATCAAACATTTTTCTCTCATTCACGAAATGGAAATCTACTTCAGACATTAGAGTGATTACTGACCCACCTTTGAAACTCCAGAAGGCTCTGCAACACTTCTCATCTAATATCAAGCCTCACACACCAGCCATTGCCCTTTGAAAAGCTCTACTTGGACTTAGACCCTTTCCATTATACCTTGGCAATTGAATATAATCTTCTTACACATCCTGTGGCTGACTTTGTACTTCCTTTTTTAACATCCTGGGAATGGGATCTTGGTTTTACTATTTATCTTTTTAAAAAATCATCCATATCTAGCAGAATCTAGAAAACCGTTCATAAACTATTGAATTGATGGCACTGGGTGCCTCAAACTCCTAAACAAGATCTTTCACTTAGTCCCCTTAGTAAGCTGGGAATGTCCCATATTCTGGGAATGTCCCTTGGTTCAACTCTATTGAGAAGACATTAAAAGACTGACTGGCAAGCTCACAGGGATCTCCTTCAGGAATAACCCTGCCCCAAGCTTCAATGCTGCAAGAGTGTACACTCCATTAAAATAGAAGAGCTCTGACCCTCTCACTATGGATAAATGGATCTCTATAGTTAATGAGATCTATTGTATGGAAAATCTTACTGCCAACTTAAAAGGAAAAGAAACAATATTCCTAAACACATGGTTCTAATGAAATACTTTTGACATATTGCATGTTTCCCTTTTCCTACATCATACATAAAGATACCCTGATGTTCCAACGCTGATTTTGTTTTTAACACTGCTTTTTCCTATCACAGGAAGGGTGAAACGGCTGTTATTTTTTGATTACTGTTTTCTTTTCCCTTGCCTGTTCTTTTTTTTTTACTGTCTCAATGCTTGTCCCTCTTGTTTTTTTTTTCTTGCTTTTCTTCTCTTTGTGGCCTTTCCCTTCCCCTGTAATACTATTTAAAATGGATATATAATATTCCCACATACAGTATATAGCGTGTTTTAGAGTGAGCAGCCGCTACATTTATGAACTTGTAAGCTACAAGATTTAAAATTTATATTTTGGTTTTAGTTATCCTTTTATATTACTTTCACATTATTTAAAATGTTTGTTCTTGGGTTTAAATACTATTTAACTGTAACTTTGATGCCAATCTCTATATGAGATGAGATGTGCTAAAGCTGTAAAAAAAAAAAAAAAAAAAAAAAAAAAAAAAGTTACTCACCAGTCAACATTACTGGTGTGTGGCTGGCATGTAAGGTAACCACATGATCGTTAAAGAATTTCTGTTACATTATAGTAAATAAATATAAAAGCCATGTGACTCTGGTTGAGCTGTGTGCTCAGCAATATACAGCAAAAACACATTTAGGGCTCATGTACACTGCAGCTACTAAACTGATGTTCAGGAGAGCTGTTCAGCATTTTTTTTCAGCAGCCCCTGAACTCACCCTAATGTTTTCCTATGTGTCCATGTACACATCTTCGTTTACAGTTGTTTACAGGCATTTGAGTTTAGTCGTTTTTTTGAACGCAGAAAAATGCGTTCAGCTTTTAGACTTTTAAATGTGGCAAATGCGGAAAATCAGATTTATAAGCTAAATTTGCAAATCTGAAAGCGTTTTTTTTTTTTTTAACTCTTCCAGTTCCCGATGCTGTCCAGAGCCTTTTTTCATCATGAAAAATGCACTCAAAGTATTTTCAAGATACTCAGATGGACAAAACACTGAACACAGGATATTCCTACCAAGCTTGTCACACATTGTAATGACCAATTCACACCTCAGACCTCCCCCCCTTGGAAACAAAAGATATGTTAATGACCATTCACACCTCAAATTCCTCCAAAAGACCCCCTACCAGGTGGCCTTAATGACTCACTCTACCAGACACCTTTCTTACCCTTGGAAACAAAAGAAATGTTAACTCACACCCAACCTAATTTCAGCAAATACTCCTGACTCTGCTTCTACTTTCTTTATTTCTCTGAAGCAGTCTGAAATAGTTAACAATTTACCACTTTTCAGTGCATTCTGGGCATTTGGGAGGTAGTCCTGTGCTTATCCTTAAAAATCGCTTCTAAATGCAAACACACATAAACGTGTTATGCAAACATGGCTAAACAGACGTTTTTTTAACCAAAGTTTTCCAGCAGTCAGTTTCCATCGTTCAGAAGTGTCCCGTGTACATGGGGCCTTACTTTCAAAAGACACAAAAGCAAATTGTATAAATGATGAGTAGAATAGGCACCACGTAGGCTAAATGAAAACAAAATTGACATTGCTGATGTTTCAGTTTTTATCTTTTGTAACTTTGCTGGAAAGGTGAAGTTGTTTTTAAAAATGGAGCATATCTGTAGGTGTTTTTGCTAAAAATTAAATATATTTTTACAAATGGATCAACATGCTTACTACTATACCTTGGTCTTCTTTTCGAAAAACGTTTTAGGAATGTTTTTGCATGTAAGATGTGATGAGATGACTCTTGGCGATGGTTGCTGATTCATGTACTTCAGAGAAGGAAAAAAAAAGTAATATCAGCTTCATTTTCTATAATTTTTAAATATAAAAATTGACACTGTATATACAGTACAGAGGAGAGAAGAAGTAAGCATTTGCCCTGTGCCTGCGTGGGTTTCCTCCAGGTACTCTGGTTTCCTCCCACACTCCAAAGACATTCTGGTAGTGTAGCAGCAACTTTGGGAAAACCAGATAAACTCTGGACATGAACTTGAAGAAAACAAGCTTTATTAACCAGCTGGGAAACAGCCAGGCTCATGCCTGCAAAGCTAAGTAATTTCAAAAGCATCTCACAGGGTATACATATTAACAATTACATCACAATGCATATATTTCCTCTTAACATTTCTTGTATCTTTGAAAAGCAGTATATAAGGATATAGTCTTAATGTAAATTAGGGGCCATAGACTGCACGCCCTTCAGGGTTAAGGACTGATGTGAATGTACAATATATATGTAAAGTGCGGCTAAATAAATTATATAAGCACCTGTAATAAATAAATAAATAGATTTGTCGTTTGGAGTCACAGGAAGGAAGCTAAGTGAATAATCTCTGTTATCCTCATACCCCCCCCCCCCCCAAACAAGCACATACACAAACTGACATAGGTTTTTGTATCCCATTGCTCAACTATTGTAATGCCACTGCTATGCAGCTCTGATGCTGTTGCTATTCAGAGCCACTTGGCTAACCCATTCATTTATAATTGAACTATGGCCTCACATTTAAAAATATATATATGCTGCAGCACTTGCTCCATCTGCAATTATAGTTTCAACTTAGTCCTTCTGAAAAGTCCCACAAATACCTGTTGAGCATGCCAGTAAATTCCCCCTAGTGTATCTTCTTGTGATGGGTGTGACTATGATGCTGTACTTTTCCTGAATTCAGAGCAGAGTTGACACTTTTATGTAGGCTATGCCTGCTTGCACCACAGTGGGATGAAAAATGCGGCTATCAGCATTGTCACAGCTGAGTCACAAACCTATAGCTTGTCAATCAGTAACTGGCCACACCTAATTCTGCCCACTGCTTTCTGGATTGGAAACGTTGCCTCTGTTGCTGAAACCCTCCTACTGGGAGCTGCAGTGTCTGGGAGTGGGGAAAGTGAGACACAAATGAAGGAGGATTTTTCTCAATAAGGAAGGTAAAGGAAGTTTTTTTATTTACTTTATGAGGACTGTGCATCGCAGGCGTAGTAACTAGATTTGGGACTTGTTTAGACTGCCATATAGGAGTTGTACTTTCAGTAAAAAGTCCTTTACCCTTATAGTAAATGAGCCACATTATATAGGTAGAATCTCTCATGTTTAAAGTGCAGAGTGCAATAATCCAATCACATTGAAAAAGAACACCTAGCTAGGAATGGGACACTTGTACTTGGATTTGGTTTGCAGGAGATTTGCCTAGCAGCCCACTAGTTCAAACGTTAATGTGGACCCTGCTGAAATCAATGAAAACTGAACAAATTCCCACCATTTTCAAGGCTGCTAGTCAAGGGATTATCAAACAAAAAGGCAAGGGGGCTTAGGTACTGTTCTGTCCCCACATGAAGGCGAATGAAGGTATATCTGATAATGGCTGTGTAACTTCCTACCTTCGTATCCAAGCAGTGGAGCAGACCGGACCGGCAGATGTTCAGGTTAGATGGATCCAAACGTATACACGGGAATGAAATCAGCGTGGGTTTATTTGGTCCAAAATACAGCGACAAACAGTGATACAATACTGTAAGGTAGTAGAGGTATTGATGCTGTCCTGTGATATCTTTCCTGAGGCTAACTGCTGGTCAAAAACTGATGCCTTCACAAGCCCAGGGTATTGAATGTCCTGTCACACAGCTATATAGCAGATAAATTGGCTGCAGGAAGTGACCAGAACCAAGGCTTGCCTAAAACCACGCCCAGCAGAGAAAAACACTTACTAGCTATAACAGAGGCATGCAGCATGCAATTTCTGGCCAGCAGATGGCAGCAACAATCAAGACATAGAAACAAACATGGTGAAATAAGAATTGGTGATACAATGCACAGTTAAATAACAAATATGAGGGGAACAGCACAGGTACTGCCAGGGTAGGCATGTGCCTATAACTACTGGGAGCAGCACTTTTAATAAGATTGAAAGTGAAACATTAAAAATGCACATAAAAAAAAAACATGCTTAGTGGATACCTTAACCACTTCAAGTCCGGACACTTTCACCCCCTTCCTGTCCAGGCCAACTTTCAGCTTTCAGTGCTATCACACTTTGAATAACAATTGCGCGGTCATGCAACACTGTACCCATATGAATTTTTTAGCATTTTTTTGAGATCGATAAAACTTTATTTTGATGGTATTTACTCACAACTTCGATTTTTATTTTTTTGCTATATATATATAAATGAAAAAGTCCAAACATTAAAAAAAAAAAAAAAAAAGTGTTTTTCTTTTTTTATTTTTCAAAATAAATAATCTTCATAAATCTTGGCCAAAATGTATTCAGCTATCTTTTTAGTAAAATACAAATAACCCAAATTAGTTTATAACCAAAAATTATAAATTTTAAAATTTTTTTTTATGACATTTTTTATTTTTTTTAGATTATTTTTTATGTTTTTTTTTTTTTTTTTTTTAACATACCATCACCGTAGCAGTACAGTGTCACCATATTCACACTGTACTACTTGTGGGGGGTGATGAAGATTTTATTTTCTTTTTTTACACTGATTTCTTTTACACCCATAAAGACTGTAAAAACAATTATTTCTCCTCCTCTCTGGCTGCATTCTTGCAGCCATTGAGAAATACCGTGAGAGCTGTGATTGGTCACAACTTGTCACATGTTGTGAATGGCCTTGTAGCATGTGACCTCTGTGATCATTCACAGATTTCACAAGTAGTAAGCAATGATGTCAGGAAGTGACATCTTGTCTACTACTAGTCATGTGATCACGGATTGGCCAGTCAGTGATCACATGAATCGGAACCTCACAGAGAGGTCCCGTACAGCAGAGGACACAGCGGGCACCGGATTGTGGTGCCGCGCGCTCCCAGGCAGTGAATGCGGGGACCATTTATAAATGGCAACCCACTTCCGCACTGTCCCCGTCTGGCCATTTATGTACATTGGGCTTTGAGAAGTGGTTAAACCTACCTATAAACCTACGTATAAAGTGCACACACACCTGTTCAGTGTATACAATATCCACTTGAGCTCCAGATGATTTACCCCCCTTAATGACCAGGGGCCTATTTTTGCTACTCGGCACTGCACTAATTCAACTGATAATTGCGGCTCATGCAATGCTGCACCCAAATGAAATTTACGTCCTTTTTTTCACACAAATAGAGCTTTCTTTCGGTGTAATTTGATCACCTGTGCGCTTTTTATTTTTCACGCTATAAACAAAAAAATGCCAAAAATTTTGAAAAAAAAAACAATATTTTTTATTTTCAGCTATAAAAAATATATAGTAAACTCAAAGTTGGTTATAAATTTAGGCCAAAATGTATTCTGCTACATGTTTTTGGTAAAAAAAATCCCAATAAGTGTATATTGATTGCTTTTGTGTGAAAGTTATAGCGTCTACAAACTATGGTATAAAAATTTACGCCATTTTTTCTGCTATACAGCGCTGCGCTAGTTTAACGGACAATTGCGCGGTCATGCAATATGGTACATAAATGAAATTTACATCCTTTTTTCCCCCACAAATTGAGCTTTCTTTCGTTGGTATTTGATCGCCTGTGCGGTTTTTTCATTTTTTGCGCTATAAAAAAAAAAAAGCTGACAATTTTGAGGAAAAAAAAAAACAATATTTTGGACTTTTTGCTATAAAACATGTCCAGTAAAAAAAAAAATGCAAAAATCAAATTTAGTCATAAATTTCTGCCAAAATGTATTCTGCGACATGTCTTTGCTTACAAAAAAAAAAAAACCCAATACGTGTAAATTAATTGGTTTACGTGAAAGTTATAGCGTTTCCAAATGGCGGGAAAGATACTGGGATTTTTAGGTTTTTTTTTTATACTAATAATGGCGGCGATCAGCGAATTATGGCGGCGATCAGGGACTTATGGGCAGCGACCAGCGACTTATGGCAGGACTGCGGCGGACATTTTGACATTTGGGGGGGGTACTGACTTGGGGTCACTGACATCCCCCAAAAACACTAATACAGTGATCAGTGCAAAAAAAAAAAAAAACTGACACTGTACTAATGGCAATGGGGAGGAAGGAGTTAACTTTATTTTGCAGGGAAAGGTTATAGGAGTGAGGAGAGTGTTTTACTAGGGGGTGTGTACTGGGCGGGACAAGGCTGATCGAGAAAGAGAAACTGTTCTTTCTCGATCAGCTCATCCTTGAGCTGACAGGGAAGTGACAGACAGCACAGCTACTGCAGCTGTGCTCTCTGTCACTGTTTGCCGCCGATCGCCGGGACATAGCCGTTAAGGAGCGGCTGTGACCCGGCGACTGACATCTGCGGCGGTGAACCACGGGACAAATAGGGCAGCGGTGCACCTCGCACACGCCCCCCTATTTGTTTACAAAACACACTTTTTAAAACGTGGTTTTGCCTGTGAGTGCCGCCCTGCCGCCATATACGTACAGTGGCTGGGCGGCATGCGGATATTCTACAGCAAATGTGAAATTTTCAAAGGAATGAAAATACCATTTAAATTTCCAGTAAATTACATTTCCCTGCCAGCTTTGTTTTTTTTTTTTTGTGAAACTTGGTATAAGGACCACCCAAAATGTATACCAAACCCTTAGGGGGTTTGGCATGTTTTTATTTTTTTTTTTTTTTTTTTTTTTTTTTTTTTTAGCAGACCCTTGGGGTGGTCCCTATGCCAGTTTTCACAAAAAAAAGAAGCCAGCAGGCAAATTAAATTAATCAGCAAAGGTTTAATTTTTCCTTTCCAAAATGTTACTTTCGCTGTCAAATATCCTATAGCAAAAAACAAAATGCCTGGGGTTCCCCCTAAATACTCATACCAGATTCCTTATTTTTGATGAGGGTTTGGTATAGATTTTAAAAGGGGGTCCTATTAAAAAGTACAGAAAAAAATGGCATGGGATCCCCATAGTCTATAGCAGACTTTTATATAGGCATGCAGCCTGCCTGCCCAGGAAGGTGAGGGAAGGGAGAATGTGCCCCTCTGATCCACACCAGGCCACATGCCCTTGACGTGGAGAGGGAGTTTTACCAAGGGTGACCCTCCTGAGAAAGCACATTGTCACCATAATAAAAAAAAAAATTCCATGATGTAAAGCCATCTTCAATCACATCATTCAGCGATGCAGATCTAGACAAAACAAGATGCCAACCTGTTGAAACAAAAACGATGAGCCACTGCACTGCTGTTGAACTCCTAAATGCAAATAACAGATACCTTTTCCAGCAGCTGGTCTGTAAATAAAAGGGACAGATAATGGTAGCTGATATTTTTGACCAAAAATGGTCCTGGCCATAGTTGGTTAGTAAGGCATCCACCATCCTGCCCTTTTGTTTACATTTAGCTGCTGGAGAGGGATACCCAGCTGACAGCCAAATCAGCACAGATGCACTGTAGTAATAACACTGATAAATGCATGGCTTTTCACTGCAGCCAGGTTCAGCTTGGTGGATTGGCTGAATATCCCATTTAGTTTACCAAACAGACAGAGTTGAGACCTAATTTGGGTCTGACCTCAAACCTCATCCCTGCTCTTAACGGAGTCCACTACAGTAAATTGAAATGTGAATGGATGCTGTAGCCTACTGCAGTTTCTGTATCATCACTGCTATTTGCACTCTTTTACTAACCAGCCTAGTGTGATTTTGCTGGGTCATGTCTACCAAAACTGAAATTTTCCCACAAGGTGAGAGTCCATTAACAACCTAATAACTGCCATTTATGTATTTAATGTTTTCCTTAAATCGGTTTTCTTCAGTTATTTTTGGAAAAATACTGTAGCTGTTGACTTTTAAAGAACAGACACAAACCTGCCCAAGGATCCAGCACCGCCCTCATCCGGGTTAGTTTTTTCATCATTCTTCGGGTCACAGTGCGGGCATGTTAATTGTAGGCATTCAGTTATGACTCCTTATGGTTGCGCTTTGTGGATGGCCCTGCAGTCTTTTGGGACCTGTGATGTGTTTCAGAAAGTTGCTGGCAGAGAGGGGGGAAGAGAACTTCCACTTGGATCGCCTCATCGACCCAAGCTGAAGTGGGAGTGGGTACCTGTCTAAATCAGAACCCCCCAAAAAATATGTTCCAACTATAGCAGAGGAAGTGGGGAGGAGGAGAAAGAAGAGCAGAACTTCCTCTTTTGGGTGAAGTTCCACTTTATTAGAGAAAAGAGGAGAAGCAGAACATCATTGTCATGTGAGCCTCAGAACCAATATTGCTAGTTCTCTTACGTATGTGTATAGAGCCCTAGATTTAATTCACCATTATACACTAATTAAATTGTGCAAGGTGCTACCATTTATTTTGCCAGTACATCATGATGTGCTACCTTAAATCTAGAAAACAAATTATTGATTACGTAGTACCTTATCTAATATTTAAATCTGTGACAGGTTTTTGTACATACCTCAAATTTCTCTGGATTTCCAAACTCCAACATAGCTTGAACCAAAGTTGGCTCTTTGTTGTGCATTTCAAATAGCATTTCATGTAGTATCTGTATTGTCCAGTTTGTTCCTAGAATGCAATATAACACATACTAATGAGTTTTTTTTTTTGTACCTATGTTTGGGGTACTATGTTTTCAGGAGCACCCCAAACATTTTTAAAGAAATCTCAGTCAAAATAAAAGGCCTTTTTTTCTTGTAGTATGAGCCTCAACTAGTGTCAGTTTTGCAAACTGTATTACCTGCACATTAGTCTAATCCCCCCAGAAAACCTTATTACACCAAGGTCAGTGGTCAAAAACATTGTTTTCTTAATGTTTCTAAGAAGGATAGCAAGCTAGGAACAGAAATGAACATCCCAATAAGCATCTGCCACTGTACCAAAAAATTTGAGCTTCAGCCCTTGGGTTTGAGAGTTAAAAGTACTACATGGGACCCCATTTGAATGGCAAAGCATTTCAATTCACAAACAGATTTCTTGATAGCACAAAATCAGAGCACTGACATTTGGGATTATAGGGTTATATCTTTTCAATAAGCACATGGTACAACATTTAGATTGTAAGCTCGAAAGAGCAGGGCCCTCAATCCCCTCATGTTTTGCATTGTATTGGTACACATGTTCTGTCCCCCTTTGTAATGTAAGGTGAGCACACTATTGGCGCTTTATAAATACTGTATATAATAATAATAATAATTTATACAGCAGCACTTGGAAGGGCAGAACAACCTTGGATAAAAAAAAAAAATAGCCTAGCCTCAGAGCAGAGGCAGAGGGCCATTGAAGGGGTCTTCCTAAAAAAAAAATTAGCCAGGGTTCAGAGCATTCATTTATTAATCAGAATGATTACATATAAGCTGTAGTGAGAGAAATATATAGGCAGCAGTGGCAGCAATAGCAGCACCACCACCTAGGAGCCAGAGTGTGTGATCTTAATTTTGTAAAAAAATATGCTCTTTACTAGATAAAAACTCTGCAACAAGCTGCAACTAATCATTGGAATCAGCCAGGGGGATATGAAGTCATCTGAGATGCTTTGGGGTGCTTGGGTGGTAGTGTTGACAATGTAAAAAGGATGTCACAGGAAAAGGGATCTAAAGAGGACAAGCAAGCAAGAGAAGGCAAAGGTAGAGGACGATGAGGGGGTACAGGCTGAATCTCCCACATCTTCTTCTTGTGGTACCACAAAGTTGATAGATGTAACCCTTGTGACTTGCTGCTCAGCCACCACTAGAATTACTCAATGTGCTGTAAAAGATGTATCATCACTGCCTATGTTTACTGTGCCACTGACAGAATACTGCAATGTGATAGGGGACACATTCTGGCTCATGTGGATATGCAAAGCAGGGATGACATTTTGGAAAAAATAGTGGAGGCTGGGCACGTGGCATTGGGGAACAGCACAGGCCACAAAATGAGGGAAGGATGCATGTGTCCACTGGTCTGTAGAGCAGCAGTTGCAGTATTTCAAGCTGTGTAGCATAAGTCTTGAGGCGTTGGGCGTGTGGGAAGTTAGGAGATGTTAGAATGAAATAGTTGATGGGAATAGTGACGGCCTCTTGTTCCTGACAAGCCACTCTGCCCCAAGATCCTTCTAAACTGCTTTAAGAAAATTGTCTCCCTCTGAGTTGAGACAGCAAAGGCTACTTGTTCCTTATGAACAGGAAGGAAGGTATTGGTGCATAATGCAGCTACAGTGGTGGAAGAAAGAAAGAGCAAGGTAATCCTCTGGCTCTGTCCTCTGAGCAAATACAGCCCTCCACTGAACTCAGTTGTTGATATTCATATGGTTTCTCTTGCATGTGGGTACCAGGGTTGTTTACATTCTTGCCTTGTTTTAAGAGCTAAGCACAGTTTTTGCAGATGACCATGGTTTGTCAGAAGCTGAGGTATTAAAAAAAAGCCCAGATGGCAGAGGTACTATGATCAGACCTAGCAGTGGGTAGCAGCTGTTCCTGTGTGTACCACTGCTAACAAATGAAGATGGTCTGAGGTGCCTGCTGCACTGGGGCCCTGTTTTGGACTCAATGCCCTCTCTTCCATAATGTTGCTGCGGTGCAACTTGCGTTCCCTGCCCATCACTCTTTTTGTCCAGGCCTTCAACCCATGTTCTGTCAACCACATCATCCATTACCTCCTCCTGAATAGTCTCAAGCTAGCAGTGACTACTGGAAGGTGTCATCTCCCTTTATTTATGCCTGTGGTCCCTTTCTTCAGACATGGTCTGTGAGGGAATAACCACAGACACTGACCCACCCTGCTTTTCCTCTCTTGGCTAGTCCCCAAAGAAAAGTAAAGGTACGGCATCAGTGAATGGTATGTATATGTTATTTCTCTCTGGTTGTTTTGAGTCCTTCATCAACAGCCCCAACATGGAATACTGAAACAGTTTTGCAGACTGTTTTTGTTAAATGCTGGAGTATATGGAGGATTTGGCAGGGGATGAAGTAAAGGAAGCCTTCTCAAACTGACTATTCTATGCCTGGGAGGAAGATGTGGAGGAGATGAATTGAAGCAACTCATTCTGGATCATCATTTCTACTACATCTTAAATTTGCTGTGACTTGTAAGGGTCAGCTTCATGTCTGTTCTGTTATAAATGCTGTAGAGCATACAGTGATGAGCAGTTACAGCAGTTTACAAAATGCTTATGCTGTGCTGACCATGCAGCACTGATTCTGAATGTTTGGTCTGTTATGCTGCAAATATAGTATAACTAGAAAAGCTACAATTTCTGGGGAAATTGTGTGAAGTGTTCTTGCCTCACCCAATGTTGTTGCCCAAAGTGCTTCACAGTTACATTAAAACATACATTTATAAAAACATTAGCAGCCGTATCACCTCAAATACTCTCTACTGTAGAAAACTTATTTCCAAACTTTTTAACCAGAAGCCGGCCAAACTGTCACGAATTCAAAATTAGATTTCAAATAGGGCAGAGAAGAGCGGTTAAAAACAAACTGCTCTAAATTGCTCACTTCACTGGCAATCTTCAAATGGTCGTAGTTTTAAAAACTATAAATCCTACAGCGGAGAGCTTTATATTGTGAGAATCAAAAGACCCAGACCTACATTTTGATGCATAGCATGTCTCTGAAATATTACAAATGAAGGCACAGTCGCAGTTTCGAAATTGCCCTTCAAATCTGAGTGTGAGGTTAGTGGCTAGAGTGGAGTTTCAATGAATGTCAATGGGCGGGTGTGAGTTGCAAACAAATGGTCATATTGGGAAAAACTATCAGGACTATGCTCAGTTGTGGACATTTTTAGTGGCAGCAAGGATAGCTGTCAGGAATGGACTCAGCACTGGTGGTGGGACTCACCTGCCGTGTGGGGGGCTGCAGTACCAGAGCTGACCAGCGGGTACTCTCAGCAGCCAGAAGCTCACACCTGCAATCAGCCAAACCTGGGGCTGGTTGCAGAAAGGTGTATTTAAGGCATGACCAGGCCTGTGATCTGGGCCTTGGTGTATGTTTTCCCATGAGCCTCTGTACCTGGTATCTTGTGTTCCTGCTTCGTTGCTGACCCTGCTTGATCCTGACCTCTTCTGACCGTCTCCTGTTGAAACCCCTGGCTTGCCTGACACATCCTTCTGCCTGATCCTTTGTACCGCGCTGCCCGTGAGTTACTGAACCCAGCTTGTGCCCCTGACCATTCTCTGCCTGCTCCTTTGGTACCTCACTGCCCGCACGTTGCTGACCTGACCCATCTGACCACGCTAGCTACTCTGCCATCCATCCATCCTGCACAGATCCAGCCGTCCCTGCTCACTCCTTCTGCCTCTTCACATCAGGCTTTCTACCTGCTCATACCTCTGGCGGATCCCTCTACCACGAGCAGGGGTACTCAGGGGCCGCGACCTGGTTCCTGTCTGCTCCAAGTCCATCCCCACCATCAGGGGCCCTGGTGAATAAGCAGACTGGGACTTAGACTCCGCGCCCTGGGGAATCTTGTCCTGGGAATTGCTAGAGGTACCACCGAACGGTCATTACAGAACCCTATGGCCCGGCCTGACCATTCCACCTCTCCAGCCCTGACTACGCCTGTGTTCCTGCACGTACTAAGATTAGTGGAAGGTTGGTTTGTTCACTGTGCGTTTATATATATATATATGTGTGGCTAATAATAAACTGTATTATTATACTATACCTGAAACCTGCGTTTCCCTGTGTCAGTCCACACCTTTCTGGTCACTCCTAGATTCCTGACATCACACCAAGGCCTTTCCTGACCAGAAGTGGCTGCACAGGGAAGCCATATTGACTTGTTGTGAAGGATGCATCCTGAGGAGGTTATGTATTTGTCTATGCTAGTCTTTGATGACAGAGAATATGCCTATCAGACTCTGCGGGGAGTATACCAGGGATCAGCTGCTAGAGTGCATACGGGTCGTTCATTCCCTAGTAGGTCAGGACCTAGAGCTCTCTGAGGTGCAACCATTGATTCAGGCTTGTGTTGAGTTGGCTTCATCTAGTACCCCTGAAAGCAGGGATGAATTCCTTCCTCCATTCAGGGTGAGTCAAATAATATCACTGGTATGGTTGTTGGAGGATGATCCGGATTGCTTCTTGGAGCATTATTCAGCATGTTCACCACATGTGCTAAAGAAGTGTATAAACGCAGTGCAATCTTCGACCAGACAGGCCTTGTGTAAGCTGAGCATTGTCCAACCCTTACTGCAGACATGGTCAGACTTGTTAACACCCAGCCTCAATCAGCTTGCAATAAACCAGTCCTGTTTCTCATCATTCCTCTGCTCAAAGCTCTTTTCCTGCATTCCCGTGACAGCACCCCCAGTGACAGCCCAGTATACCCTGCTATCTACCACATGTCAGTACCCTGCTCCCACTCGCTGTACCATCGTGGCCAGTCGACTCGGTCCAGTTGACTCGGTGCCGCTGTCGAGCCAGATGACTTGATGCCTGATGATTTGGTGCCCGCTGTCGTGCCCGTTGACTTGGTGCCCGCTGTTGTACCAGTTGACTCGGTGCCAGTTGACTCGGTGCCCACTGTCGTGCCCGTTGACTTGGTACCCGCTGTTGTACCAGTTGACTCGGTGCCAGTTG